CTATGCAGGCATGTGGAATATGAGCATGCCTGCCTCATAAATTTTTGATGATGCCAAGTCAGTAAATCCTTAAGCAATTCTTGCTGGTTTTTGTACTGGCCATAAATATTAAATTTCAGTGCATTCACTCAGGGTTGTGCACCCCTCCAGTGATCCAATCCTCTCCAATTACAGAAAAGTCTCAATGGAAAGTGGATTAGACAGAATGGCCATCCCCAAGTCCAAAACGTTATAGGACTAAAGTAGAATAGGTCCAGGGCAGCGAACACTGGCTCCTCAAATGCTTTCCTCTCCAGTCAGGGCAGGAAAACATTCATCAGTATACCCTCTCTCTTTTACAAGAGCTCAGCAAATCTGAAAAATCAAATTAGCAACAAATGATGCCCTCTCCAATAAATACCATCTCTCTTGGGTTGTTAACATATGGCAGCTTCAAAGAAGTACACAGCTAAAATGGCAGGGGTGTATACAGGAAGCCATAACTCATGGCAATGCCAAAAAGGAAAACAAAATATTTCTTACCAAATTAATCACTGAAAAAACTGTGACCACATAAAAGATGTCGTAGTTAGTGCAAGTAAAATTAAATTCTGCAAAAACCTCGCAAAATCAAATTTGGTTTATAAAGAATCAACCTTCATTCCTGAAAATCCTAAATTATAGAATATTTTAAATGTTGTTTTATTTAGCTAAAGTTCAAAACTCACTCAAAAGAAGCCTAGAATGATTGCCATCACATATTGTAAGTTGAATTCCTTGTAATCAATAGGATGACAAATGAGTAAATTCTTAGAATCAAACAGGGCTTCTAACTACTTCTTTACCAGAAACTGAGTAATGTGTCAATCTAATAACCAATGCATTTACTTACAGGAATACAAAGGAAAACATTGACATTTCAGCTTTTTAGAATAGGAAGCAGAACTAGCCTCTGAAAATATACAAAAAAACTGTTTAGAAGTTAAGAAATGTGTATCCAATTAAATTGCTACAGTTCAGCTTCTTTCTGATTTATGGTAGTATGCCAAGTTCCTCTTAGTCACCCTTCAAAAATAAAGAATTGAAGTTTTAATACAAAAGATACAAGTTTCATAAGTGCAATAACCTATAGAGCTTCCTACTACTGAGTTAAATTATCCATCTGCTACAGCAAAATGGCAGATAGTGGATCATCATTTCAGGCACAAAATATAGGGAGGTGCTTGAAAATTTCAAAAATGAAAAAAAAATTACCCATCTCTTCAGGGTGTTCAACATCATCAATATAGTAATTATGAATCTACGAGTGTGGTATTTAGGTAGGGCAATGAGGTTGAGGGATGAATAGAGAGAATGACATTAGGAATCAACTTCATAAAGAACATAAAGCAATGTCAAAGGCAAAATGATAGGTAAAAAGGATCCAGATGGTGGCCTTGCCCCCCCGGAGGCTCTGTGGTGGGATCCTTCCTAAACCTCAGCTTCTTCGTCTGGAAAACAGAGATTCCAGTGGAGCTTGTACCACAGTGGTCCAGAGGATAAGATGACTAAAGTATGTCAAGCCTTAGCACAGTGATTGGTTCTCAAGGGCTTGAGAAACAAAAAGAAAGGGATAAGTCTTTGTTACTTAAAAGAGGGTAACTTCATACAAGGGATCATTCCTTTTCTTCAAAGAACACATTCAATCCACAATAGCTATGGGTCATCTGTGCACAGAGAAATCTGTGCCCAAGAAATACATGCTGAATATCACAGTAAAGAGCAATGGAAGAAGAAATCTGCAACTAACTTAGTTTGAAACCTTTAAGGATCTATATAAAAGATAATGTGAATAACAAAATTAGGTTCTATTAATTCCAGGTAAGTTCTAATGATCATAATAATTTTTTTTTTTTTTTGGACGGAGTTTCACTCATGTTACCCAGGCTGGAGTGCAATGGCACAATCTCGGCTCACCACAACCTCCGCCTCCTGGGTTCAGGCAATTCTCCTGCCTCAGCCTCCTGAGTAGCTGGGATTACAGGTACGCGCCACCATGCCCAGCTAATTTTTTGTATTTTTAGTAGAGACGGGGTTTCACCGTGTTGACCAGGATGGTCTCGATCTCTTGACCTTGTGATCCACCCGCCTCGGCCTCCCAAAGTGCTGGGATTACAGGCTTGAGCCTCCGCGCCCAGCCTGTATTTTCAAATCATATGGATGATATTAAAACATAAAGCATAATGCTGAAGTTGTGCAGTTAACTGAGGGTGTTATCTCTCCTACCTAGGGACATTGAAAAATGGGGATGGGAAGAAGAGTTGGATGCAGGCAATGACCAGGGATGTGAAATGTTCTGCAATACATGGTTTGGTCCCCAGGCAAAAAATAATCCCCTTACCCAAAATATGACAAATAGACTCTTCTTTAAGATAATGAAGTTCCATCCACCACCATTCTTAGCTTAATCTTGAGGACATTATATGAGTGTGTAAGTACATGTGTCTACCAACATTCCCAAAGCTCAGAGTTCATATGAAATGTACAGAGACTCTAATAGGTACTGGTAAGAATAACCTACAAAGCAGAAAATCTGGCAGATATTTAAGAGACACATGCACTCACCCTATTACATAGAGTCAAGTTCCTGCTCTAAATGAATTAGCATGTTTTAAAAAACTGCCTGTTGTAATTTGGTATGAAATATAATTGAAAACATCATTGCATTTCCACCCAGGGGAGTAAATGACATAAGTATTTTCAGGAGAGTATAGAAACAAGCAGAGAGACAAGTGAAAAAAAATGTAACAATGGCAGTGACTTCTAAAAAATGTATATGGATAAAAGTGGGAAAAGGAGATTAATAGTAGTTGAGAGCAAGAAATAAATTAACAAAGTATAAATTGAATTATGGAAATTCACATACAAGGGGCTAGAGTAAAAAGGGACCTCAGTAGCCAACAGGGACTATCTAATTCATCTCTGGACCATGAGGAACTGCCATGGCGCCAGAATATTGTAAGTACTCAATAGATGGTGGTTGAAAGGAGGGATGGATGGATGGGTGGATGGACGGACAGACGGACAGACAGACGGATGGACGGATGGATGGATGGATGGATAGATGGACGGATGGATAGATGGATGGATGGATAGAAATGCAACCTCAAGATTTGGTTTTATTGTATTATATATGAAGAAATTGAGACTCAGGTAAAATTCAGTGACTTGCTGAAGATCATTCATTATGCCTCACATTCTGATGTTATATATGCCAGATGCTATGCAGATGATTACGGAAGAGCAGGACTGAAATTAAACTCACACCCCCTACATCCTAATCCAGGCTTTTTGCACTGTATTGGGATGCCTCCCAAAAGAATTATCACAGCGACTTAATAAAGGAGGGAGAAAGTTAATTGCAAATTTCAAGCTTAGAAATTCACAGGCAAAACCGGCTGAAGGGAAATAATCACATTAATAGTGATGCAAGGATGTAACTGGAAAGAAAAAAATGGAGAGAATTTAAAAACACAAACATTTAATCAGGGTCCTGATAAAGTGATAAAGTAATCAATAAGGCAAAGAAAAAAAAAAGATAAATGATTACAGATGTAAACCTCAGGGAAACCTATCAAAAAACCTGAGGGAAAAGATTTTGAATTTTTTATTTCCTCCAAAAGATCCTATTTGATGAATTTTTTTTTTATCTAAATGACCGAAGATTTAGAATTTGGAAAGGTATTCGCATACCTGTTTCCCATATAAGCATCTACATTTCTTGACACACAGGACCGCAACACTCACCTGGTTCCAAAGCAGACAGCTTTGCCCTCGGTATCAAGAGCACTATCACCATTCTGGCCCGGAGAGCTTATACGTAGGTCTTATACATAGGTCTTAGCCAAAGCTCAGAGGAAAGAAGCGAGATTTGGTGAGTCTCCAACATATGTCCTCTAGCCACTTTTCAGGTACCAAGTTACATCTCAGCATAGTATCAGACACTGGAAGATGTTGTATTTAAACTTCACTAGCCCAAGCCCTAATTCACCTTCATAGTGTAACACTTTAATGTTTCTTAAAATTTGGGGGATCCTAGAATGACACCTCTAAAAATCTGCTGAAAAACTGGATCTTTTTATTGGAAAAACCATACATACCTACGTATCTAAAATGTGTATTTGGTTTCAGTCTTTCCTATCCACAGTCTCTCCTGCTTTGAAGGGATGCCCTAACATGCTTTTATCCAGAGGTAGTTGGCAACAACCATCGGATAACATGTTTGTCACCTGGGTAATAAAATACTCTGTACACCAAACCCCAACTACATGCAATTTACCTATATAACCAACCTGCGCATGTACCCCTGAACCTAAAATTAAACGTTAAAAAATAATAACACAAGTAAAAGAGCTTTTGCATGTGTTATAAATCTGTTCAGGAGGACTTTCCAATGTGCTTTCAAGATAGTTGTCTTTAAGAATTTAGCACCACTCTGATTTCCCATAAAACTGTGCTTTTCAAGTGGCTTTTGAGGAAGGATGATACTTCAACTGTCTTTTTTGTTCTGACTTCTAGGAAGTTCTTTATCACATCATATTCTCAACCAAATAATTAACACTCATCATTAGCATTTTCTTCTGTCTTTGTTAATTTTATTGTTGTTAATTTTATTGTTTTTATCTTTGCTATATGTATTTTTCCTGGTTTTCCATTTCCTCCCTGTCCCTGCCAATAAAAGAGACCCATAGATTTTATTCTTTCGTTCTACTTTTTCATAAATGTTTCTTCTACATATATCTGATATATATGGAAAAAAGTATTACTGTCTATATATGCAGAACTTGTAACTCACAGGATTTCTAAACTAAAAGGCTTTTGTCATAGGTGTGAAGTGAAATTCTGCAAGTAGCTGCACCCATGAACTTCAGAGTTAAACCGGTATCTCAGTATAATCTGTCACTGCAATAGTTTCTCGGTTTGATTTCCAAACCTCATATTGAAATTAGTCCCCCAGTGTTGAAGGTGGGGCCTAATGGTAGGTGTTTGGGTTATGGGGACAGATCCCTCACAAATAGCTTGGTCATCAATGAGTGAGTTCTCACTCTATTAGTTTCTGGGAGAGCTGATTGTTAAAAAAAGAGTGTACCATCTTCCTCCTCTCCCTTTTTGCTTCCTCTGTCACCATGTGGTCTGCCCATGCCAGCTCCCCTTCATCTTCCGCCACAAGTGGGAGCAGCCTGAGACCCTCACCAGAAGCTGATGCCGGTACCATGCTTCATATATATCCAGCAAAACTGTGAGCCGAAGAATTCCCTTTCCTTTATAAATGACCCAGCCTCAGGTATTCCTCTATAGCAACACAAATGCACAAGACACTCCTGCTTCCTTTCATTAGCTATTTCAAGCTGAAAAATTATGAGATAGTTCCAAAAATTAGAGCAGGATCTTGTCATTGTGAACTTACAACTTTTCTATCTAAAGCAAAAGGTCCTAGCCCCAAACCATAATTGGAGAGATGCCTCTACTCAAACTTCATTACCCTTAAACTGCCCCTTCTCTGCCTTCCATTCCCCACTTACTCACTGAAAGACAAATGAGTTTAGGCTGGGCACAGTTAGCCATCATGCTCAGAAAAATGAAATCTTGCTGCTTGGTATTCTCACTGAGAATCTCTTTCCTTAGCTTATGGATCCCCCTACACAGATTCCTGACAGCTCACTGGGCCATAAACCCAGCCAGATTTTTGAGCTACATCTGCAGTATCTTTTCTACTCAGGCAGCTGGCATAAGGTGGGAAAATTCATTAACATGCTAATGATGTCCTATTTAAAATTCTAGCCCTGATTATTCTGTGATTAAATCTCTCCCCTTGATGTCGGTTCCCTTTATAGCTGAGCTACAGTGCGAAATCAACAATATTAATAAAGTACAATACAGATTACCAATGTATACACAAGGGATGGTGAAAAACAGCTACATAAATCTGAGGGCTGTCTTTTTTCTTGAAAAGCAGTTATAGGCCTGGTGTGTTGGCTCACGTCTGTAATCCCAACACTTTGGGAGGCCGCAGCAGGTGGATCACCTGAGGTCAGGAGTTCAAGACCAGCCTGGCTAACATGGTGAAACCCTGTCTCTACCAAAAAAATACAAAAATTAACTGGGCATGGTGGTGGGTGCCTGTAATCCCAGCTACTCAGGAGACTGAGGCAGGAGAATCACTTGAACCTGGGAGGCAGAGGTTGTATTGGGCTGAGATCGCACCATAGTACTCCAGCCTGGGTGACAAGAGAGAAATTGTCTCAAAAAAAAAAAAAAAAAAGATGTAACAAATTGTAAAAGTTGCTGATTTTTTTTCATCCCTCCTTTCTTTAAAGAAATACACATATTGGAATCCACAATAATTAAATGTTTATAGTTAATTTCCATAAATATTCAAGGCTTAGAAGATTGATTTAGCTTTTCCTTCTACTTCACTGCACTTAGCATTGCTCAGAATTCAAATGCGTTATCCTGAAGTCTTAAAAACAGCTGACAGGAGTTAAAGAGCACTTCTTATCATCTCTTTATAGCGATTGTGTCTTGGTGACAAAAGCCAATGGATTTAGTGATGATGTCTGTCTCCCTTTGCCCTTGAGTACCTTGGCATATTTCAGTTCCTTTTCTATTATCATATTGTTCTGCCTGCTGACACTCCAATCTGAATATCTGACTCAGACAACTCAAGCATCTTCCAAGAAAGACAATCAAACTTGCCACTACTCTCATTAATTTGGAAAGTGAATAAAGAAGCAGAAGATTCAAGGCCTGGATCTGCAATCTAAAATGCAGGAAGAAAGGGCTCATGTGTCATTTTAACATCTGACCCCAGTAAGTAAACAAATATTTGTGGTATAGTATATTTACTATTTTAAAAGACATCATGCTGGATACCAGAGCAGTACAGTGAAACCTGAGGACAATGTTCTGACCTCAGTGGACTCACAATCTAGCCAGAGACACAAGATACCAGGATATCTTAAGTGATCAGTGCAGCAAGTTCATCTCAGGCGAATCATTAGAGATACACTTCACCTCATTAAGAGGTCACTGTATGAGACACACTGCTAATTGTTCCCTAAGACTGCAAATCTCCCCTTTTGCTATGGAAACAGAACTCACGACTTCAGCAGGGCACATTGCTGCCCAGGGTGAGGACAGCTCCCAGCTCCCCTTGCAAGTAGCTGTTACCATACAACAAGGTTGAGGCGACAGGGATGTGGCCATAGCAGAGACGTGTGCAGATTTCTCAAAGGGTACTTAAACGGGATAGGTGAGCTCTCTTCCTTCTGCATTTTCTCTGACTGTACTTGGACATGCCTGTGGCTAGGTCAGCCAGGTTGGACTGTATGGTGCATATTGTGGGGCAGAGGGGAACAAAATAGAAGAGTCTAAGTCCCTGACCATCAGGGTGGCTTGTTCATCCATGAGTTGCCTTTTTCCCCCGAATGTTGCATTCTACAACCATTGTTGGAAATAAAAATCTTTTTTAAGAATACTACATATTGCTCATTTCTTAAATGGTTTCATTCTCTAAAACTAAAGAGTCATGGTACATACATGCATATGTGTATGTGCGTAAGCACACGCTCCTTTGTACTTCCCCTGTATTTAAACTTGAACACAGAGCTCCCTCTGAATTTTTAACTCTCAAAACACAAAAATAGCTGAATATGGACTTTAGCCCAGTTTTATCACATTTTAATAAATAAAAGTTTCAATATATTCAGGTATTCATTATTTATTTGTTACTCACAACCCTAGATTATTAATTTGGTTCACCTAAAGCCAGCTCATCTCAAATTGGCTAAAAAAAAAAAAACCAAGCATGTGTAAATCAACATATAGGGAAAAGGGTGGCTGACCCAGCAAAATCCAAGTGTGAAAACATAGAGGGGCTTCACAACAGTAATGAGCCATCTGCAATTTAGAACCATCCACAGTAACAATCTCTCATTCCATTTGTTTATGTTTTATTCATCATTTTGAAAATACTTAGTGAAGTGACAATGATGAGATTCAAAAAATACTGCATGGTCCTTTTTTAAAAAAGAGATATTAATGGTTTTCAAGAGCTCAACTGTTCAAATGAAAATACTGCTGGACTAAATTTGCTCAAATTTGTTCACATCTTCTTTATTCTTGGATATAACATATTCTTCATTTTGTGAAAAATTATGTGGTGATAACATGAGAAATTTTGTAGTTTTCATTGTTTATACATTTTAAAAATCAATAGCAGAAATCTACTTAAAATGTACAGTGCTCGCTAGGCACGGTGGCTCACGCCTGTAATCCCCGCACTTTGGGAGGCCGAGGCAGGCGGATCACCTGAGGTTGGGAGTTCAAGACCAGCCTGACCAAAATGGAGGAACCTTGTCTCTACTAAAAATACAAAATTAGCCAGGCGTGGTGGCACATGCCTGTAATCCCATCTACTCAGAAGACTGAGGCAGGAGAATCACCTGAACCTGGGAGGTGGAGGTTGCAGTGAGCCAAGCTCGCACCATTGTACTCCAGCCTGGGCAACAAGAGCAAAACTTTGTCTCAAAAAAAAAAAAAAATGTACAATGCTCATTCCTATCATGACAGAGTAAACCAGGCTGTGGTGTCTTAGGTGAGCATGTTGTCATTCCTTAGTACTATAGTTACTTAGGCTCAAATGTGCTGTCTCTAGTTACATATATGGCAAAAACAAGGCTTGACCTTTGAGAGTGAAAGAAAAAAAGGTAAGCACTATTAAGCCAACTTAAGGGTATTCATTACAAAGAAGACAGAATGACTACTGAACACACTCTTTGATTCAAATATTTCTATGAAGAAACCTCTCTCTACACAAATCAATAAGCCTTTAAAAGAAAATTTATGCATCCCAAAATGATGCATTTAACTTCAGCTAGCTGAGTTTATGTCTCTCAATCTAGCTTATGAATACTAATCTTCATTTACTTCAATTTATGAAATATTTACAAAAGCCCCATTTCAAATCTGGTTCCCAGCCCCATTCTTTTCTTATTTCTTCTTAAACAAGCATGCTTTGTAAAATACAGCCGTTTATTCATATGTATTTCTTTCATTTGTTTTAGTAAATGATGACATTTATTTAAGAACCATGATATGCTATATATGGCCCCTGACTTTTAGTTAGTTTCTAGGAGCAATGGAAAGGCAGGCATGTGCGTGCACACGTGCACGCATACACACACACACACACACACACACACACACACACACTCTCTCTCTCTCTCTCTCTCTCTCTCTCTCTCTCTCTCTCTCTCCAGGATCTTTGCAAATTAATCTGCACCACTTAATCTGCCCAGGAGATAGATGTTATTCTTGTCATTTTACTGGTGCAGAAACAGGTTCTAGTATTTAATAAAGATTACATCTGAATTTGCTTTTAATGATTTCATTCTGCATATTAGAAACTGAATCATCAGAAACGCCTTACTTTTTTTAAGAAATGAGTTTATACTATCTCAATTTGCACTGAACCAGCATCTTCCGAGACTATCCCTCTGGGTGCAAATCTCAGAGTAACCTCAGTTACTCTTAACAACTGGAAAAGGAAAGAACACAAGAACACTTGAAGTCCTCCGACAAGCAGACACTTTGACTAAGGCAGCATTTGCCTCTTCCACATCATCCTTCCTGAGGAAAGAAGCTCTCAGAAAAGTACACACATAGAAGAGCCACTTTACGGTCTTTCCTCAATTTTCTCAGATCAGCCTGATTTAGTCTATGATTGTGCAGACCAGGAGACTGAGCCAAGGGACAAAAGGAAGATAATTGTCACACAAAGAAAATGCGCAAGACCTTGCCAAGGGAGAAATTGCTCTAAATAATAACAAGGCTATTAGCAAGTGCAGGGTGGGAGGGGGAGCAGAAAAAGAAAAGATGTCACATGTGAATATAAAAACAAAAGCTGACAAGTAATTCCACCCAGTTTGCCAAGGCGCCTGCCAAAAATGTCCCCCAGGAAAAGGGCCATGTGTTCCATGACACCCTTCACAGTGATGTTCACATAAAGCACAGAGCATTCTGTCTGGCCACAAAACACAACAAATATCATCAATATCTCGCCGCATAGCAGTTGTGCACTACCTACCATAGGCGGTCTCCTGGCGCTCCAGTTCTCTTCTCAGTCTGTCGTAATCTTCTTTAACACTCCCCAGCTTTTTGACATTCCTGGAACTCAACACCAACAGCTTGCTGAGGAGTCCCTCCAGCCCTTCTCTCTCTGATGTTAATGATCTAATCTCCTCGGTGAGGTCCTTAGCTGTACAGAAATGGTTTCCTACAGCACATTGTGGGAGAAAAGGAGGGAAAACAAGCTTTACAGCATCCACACACGGAAGATCTGGCAGCAGCTAACGTACATTCACAGCATGGGCAAAGAAACTGAACTTGGAGATTATGTACAACTTCCTCAGCAGTCCTCTGGGGAAAGAACCTGGAAAAGCACTGCCCTCCCTAAACTGGAAAAAAAAAAAAAAAACACCAGTCTTTTTATCACCTTATTCTTGTTATGTCCATTTTAGGAGTTCAATTGGCTAAGCCGTGTCCTGTGAAATATGATGACACAAAAATGTCCCAGTGGAATCCAGAGAAACCACAACGTGTCACTCTATTCAAATAATATACAAATGTCAAAGAGATGACATATCATAGTAGGGTGGAAGGGGACTGGACCACCTAATTAGAGTAGACCTAAATTAAATTCCTAGCTCCCCTGTTACTCAAATTGCATGACCTGGAGCAAAGACATTAGAACACCTGGGGCAAATTGCTTATAAAATATGATTGCAATAATACCTGAATCATAGGTAGTTACAAAAATAAACAAGAAATTCTGTAAAGCACTGAGCAAAATATATGGCATGTTAAATGTAGCAAGGTTGCAGGATACAAGGCCAATATACAAAAATCAATCTTATGCCTAAATATCAACAACAAAAAACTGAAAGATGACTTTCTAAAAAAATACAATTTACAAGATGTTTTAAAACTCAAAATGTTGAGGAGTACTTTTTTAAAATACGTGCAAGAGCTCTACAGTGAGAACTACTTTTTTCAAGAACTGCTGAGAGAAATTGAAGACAAATATTTTAAAAGATACACTATATACATACAGTGGAAGTTCAATACTGGTAAGATTTCAATTTTCCCCACATTGATTCACTGATTTAATACAATTCCAATCAAAATTTTATGAGGTCCTTTTGTAGAAATCTATTAGCTTATTCTAAAATGATGAAGAGTGAGCCAGGCATGGTGGCTCACACCTGTAATCCCAGCACTTTGAGAGGCTGAGGTGGGTGGATCCCTTGAGGTCAGGAGCTCAAGACCAGACCAGCTAACGTGGTGAAACTCTACCTCTACTAAAAATATAAAAATTAGCCAGGCACAGCAGGACACACCTGTAATCCCAGCTACTCCGGAGGCTGAGGCAAGAGAATCACTTAAATGAGGGAGGCGGAGATTGCAGTAAGCCATGATCCCACCACTGCACTTCAGCCTGGGCAATAGAGTGAGACTCCTTCTCAAAATAAATAAATAAAATAAAATGTAGAAGAATGAGCCCATGAATCTGAGGCTGTAGTACACTATGACTGCACTTTTGAATAGCCACTGCACTCTGACTGGGCAACATTGCAAGGCCCCATCTCGAAGAAGAAGAGAAAGAAGGAGGAGGAGGAGAAGGAGGCTGAGAAGGAGGAGGAGGAAGAAGGAGGAGGAGAAGGAGAAGGAGAAGGAGGAAGATGAGGGAGGAGAAGGAGGGAGGAGGAGGGAGGAGGAGGAGGAAAAAGACGGAGGGAGGAGAAGGAAAAGGAAGCAGAAGAAGAGGAGGAGGAAGAGGAAGCAAAAGCAGCAGCAGCAGCAGCAACAAAGGCCTATCCTTAAAAAGCAAAGCAATCCTTAAAAAGTAAACCAAAAAAAAGTAAACCAAAGCAATCCTTAAAAAGTTAGTCTTGATTTCAAGACTAATGCTAAAGCCACTATAAATCAAGATAATATGGCATTGCATATAGATAGAGAAATAGATCAATGGAATAACAGTCCAGGAGTGGATTTATATATATATATAGCCAACCAAAGTGCCAAAGCAGGTCAATGAGGAAAAGAAAGTGTTTTCAATAAATGGTGCTGGAACAACTAGCTATCTACATGGGAAAAATATTAACCTTGATTCATGCCTCAAACCATACACAAAATTTAATTAAAGATGGATCACAGACCTAAATGTAGAAGTTAAAACTATAAAGCTTCCACATAAAGAAAATAAAAGAAAATTTTATTGAATTTGGAGTAGGTAGGAACTTCAGATAAGATACAGAAAACAGTAACTATTTTAAAAAGAATAAATGGGCTTCATCAAAATGTAAAAGTTCTCCTCATCAAAAGACACCACTAAAAAATGAGACAAGAAGTCACAGACTTGGAGAAAATCACGGCAATATGTTTAACTGACAAAGGACTTGAATATTACAGCCTGACAATTAAAACACAAATGGTGCCACTGAAAAACAGGCAAGTGACTTAATAGGCATTTTACAAAGTAAGACCCACAAATGGCCAATGAATATATGAAAAAGCATTTGGCATCATTAATCATTAGGAAAAGAAAAATTAAAACCATAGAGATTCCACTACAAGCCCATTCAAATGTTTTAAATTAGCTGGACTAAAAATGTCAACATTCACAAGGATATGGAGCAACTGGAACTCTCACCCATGTAAAATGGTCCCTTCAAGAAAAGTTCTGCCAGTTTCTCATGAAGTTAAATGTACACCTACCCTTTAATCCAATAATTCTACTTTCTAGGCATTTACAGAAAAGAAATGAAAACACATAGTCAAAAATATTTGCACTCAAATAAATGTTCATAGTGACTTTATGCCCAAGAGCCAGCCCCAAACTGGAAGCAATCTAATGTCCATCAACAAGAAAATGCAAAAATAATACAATAGCTACACAATGAAAGACTATTCAGCAATAAAAAGAAACAAACCCTTCATATATGTAGCAACACATATGTATCTTTACAAAGGATGCAAAGGAATAGTGCCACATGATTCTATTAAGTTCTAGAAAAGGCAAAATTAATCCATGATAGAAGATATCAGAGCCGAGGAGGGATGACGATGACTGGGAAGTGACACAGGGTAATGTTTCTTGAGTGATGAAAATGTTCTATCTCTTGATAGGGCTGTTTGTAACACAGGAGATGTCGAAATTCAAGAACTGTATACTTAAGACCTCTGCATTTCATTGAATGTAAATCACACCTCAATTAAAAAGAGGAAAAATTATGAAATTTTTAAGCATGAGTACTGAACAATAAATTAATAAATATATAACATTAATGAGTACCCCATAAATTAGTGTTATTAGAAAACCCCCCTATGTTGTCTAAGAATTTATAGTAACCATAATCACAATAATAGCTACAAACTTTCTCAACTTTAAATGTCATCACAACTTTAGGAGACAGGTTATGTCTTATATTATTATTATATTTTTTTTTACATTTTAACATCTCTGAAACAGGGACGTGTCCTACAATTGCTATCAGCCAGGAAGCAGTCAGGAAATAGTCAGAGCAATCCAGGTTATAATTGGATTGTTTTCCCAGCTCTGGCTGACCATCTGCAACCACCTGGTGTTTCAATGTGCAAACCATTTTAGGACCATTTGCATCCTGGCTGTTGCCTGAAAATCTTCTGTTGATGTGGATTTGTAAGACTGGAAAAGCACCAGCATTTGAAACTTGAAGAAAGGTGTTAGCAGTTTGGCAAACAATACTACAGAAAACAGTTCATTCTTGGGGGAGAAAAAGTTGCCTCCCACAACTTCAATTGTTCAGAGGATGATGATGTGTGGAGAAACATGAACCTCGACAACGTTGAGGCCGAATGTGTTTCAGAAGACTCAGGCTGAATAGGAAGATGCCTAGGACAACCTTAACCAATTTTCCTTTTTAATGAGTGATACGTGATTTTTCAAAAGCCTAACTACATGTGAAAGAGCTATTTCAGTAAGCACAAGATAAAAATTCTAAACCATAGAAAGCACTGTTACTGTTTAATTGACAATAATTTTTCTTTCTTTGTAATATATAGAACAATGGTGCTTTTTTTTTAAGATGGAGTTTTGCTCTGTCGCCAGGCTGGAGTGCAATGGTACAACCCTAGCTCAGTGCAACCTCCGCCTCCTGGGTTCAAGTGATTCTCCTGCCTCAGCCTCCCAAGTAATTGGGACTACAGGCACCTGCCACCACGCCCAGCTAATTTTTTGTATTTTAGTAAGACAGGGTTTCACCATGTTGGCCAGGATGGCTTGATCGTCTGACCTTGTGATCCAACAGCCTCCACCTCCCAAAGTGCTGGGATTACAGGTGTGAGCCACTGCACCCGGCCAGTGCTTTTTATGTTCACTGAAATTCATACTATTATCTGTTTTCACAGCTGGGAAAACAGCAATCTGGAGAGCTATCCTGCTGAAGGTCACAGTACAGTTAACCATACGGCAAGCTTCTGACTCAAACTTCACCCTAGAACCCCTCCTCTTAAACACAAATTATGCTGCTAACTTCTTTATTGTTACTTAGCAGGCAGATTTTAGGCTGATACAAATATTGAAAATGTTACAAAATGTTTTCCCTCCTCAAAGGCATTCTGAAACCTAGCACAAATCATCTGTCACCAAAGTCCATAGTTTCCAATGCCATGATTGGTAAACATCCTATTGAGACTCATTTGTTTGTGTGTCACTGTTTTAAGCAACATGGTAAACACAAAAGAGAACAAGTACTGCTCCTGCTCTCCAGGAAGTTACCATACAATAACGGAAGAAGGTGCCTTCCAGAGAATAAGCAAATGCTAGGAGAGGGCAGAGGACAAGAGAGATTATTCCAGAAGGAGAAACTGAGGCAGATTTCAGGAGGGAAGAATATAAAGAGTCCCAAAAGAAGAAATAGGAACTCTAGTTAGAGAGCAATGGGCAGGGGGTAGGAGGTGAGACTAAACTTATGAGGAAGTTGCTTCAAAACAGCAGCGCCCAAAATGCCAAGCTGATGGGTTGGGCCCATTTAGGAAAAACCCACAAAGTCCACATGAGAGCAGACTGCACTTCTATGCGCTTCAAGTTGTAAACAGAAACACAACTAAAACCTTTCCTGAATTGGTAATTTCCATACTGAACAATGGCCAAGTCAGGGAATCTGAGGATCAAGCCCCCTACCGCATGCCACAAAGAACCTCAAGGGACCCCATGTTCTGGGGAGCTTGCATGAC